ATATATATATATAATATATATATATATATATATATATATATATATATATATATATATATATATATATATATATATATATATATATATATATATAAAATTCAGTAACTCCAGACCAAGGGCCTTCGCTCGAGACGTCGAAATTCTCCTTGTATTTTTCAGGTAGCTGCATTATCTTCTCGTGTTAAAAACAATATTTTACTCACTCGCTGCGCTCGTTCGTAAAATATTGTCAGTTTCACCACTCGAAGATAAAAAGTCATATCTTCGCGCCGCCGTGTAATATCCTCTATGTAATAGGTTTATAAGTTAGTGCACTGTACTTGGTTTGTCGTAAATAATGTTCCAACTCCGGTGCATCGGTGAGAAAACTTTGCGCATATTCTAAAAAAATATTGTATCGATGATTGGTTTTTGTTTTTGTTCAGTAAGATATGGGTAATACAGTGAAAGCTATATTTCAGGACATCAGCACGTCATACAAAGACGTGTACAAAAATGTGATCTTTTACCCGCTTCTTTTATTTCAAAGTTTCTCTCCGTAAGTGAGGTTGGTGTTACTGGACAGGAATTTGGCGGGCTCATTGGCAAAGCAGATTGTGCTAGTGCAGTCCTGGAAGAGAAGGAAATATTAATCAAACTTTACTCGACTGTTTATCAGTGTTGAAAGAAACTCAAAATAAATTAGAGATACAAGAAGCGAAGAAACTCCATAATTTGTCAGCTATTCGCCATGATTTTGTAGCTTAGGAGTGTTTTTGCCCCCCTCCCCCTCCCAAACTTAACGAATGGTTGAAAATCTAAATACTGCATGAAGTAATAATTGAAAAATAACAACACAGTTACAGGAGAAGCTGAAAAGACAAAATATGCCACCAAATACATGCAAGTCCATATATTGTAAGTAACAAAGAAAGTTACAAAATCCCTCTCTGCAATGGCAGCCATACGTCAGCTAAAACATACGTACGTTTCAAATGTAGGATTGTTGTCAACAAATTGAGGTTCTTGCCAATCCCGTTCACCGTTTGGTATTGACTCTGAAGTAAATAGAGCGAGGTAAGATAACCTATACATAAACATTACGTAGTCGATTTTAAAGCGTGGGAATACTACAGCAGAATATATTAAATTCCCATAACAGTTATTTTTCTGAAATCTACATATAAAAAAAAACCGTCATCGACCGTTTTAATTACGAACAGCTTCTCGCGAAGATTCGTGTCTCGCTGTTCATGAGTTCTTAACCGTGACGCTAAACTGCATAGCGAGATATGAATACGATACATGTCTGTCATATCACACAGTTCATTTCAAGTGGAATGGATTAGTTTTTGGTTTTAGAGTATAGAGAAAAAAGGACAAGTCTGTGCAGGCCGCGTACCCTTTATTATAATTACATTGGTGATTATTGAAAACTCTCCACGCTGATTGGTTGCCGTTGAGGTGATTAGAACGAGATAATAATTTTCGAAAAGGCGGCCGAAACCGTTTCGTAAGTTAAATGAAGAAGAAATTGGAATTTTTAATTTTTATCAAAATAATGACATATGAAATTATACTAAAACAATTATTCACCTCAGCCCATCAGGTGATTATCGTGAATAAAAACCTCGACTTCGAGTCGGTTTTTATTCGCCGATAATCACCTCGCCTTTGGCGAATAATTGTTAAATGTAAATACCCCAATTTATTCTCAGATATGTAACAAATTTATTAAAAAATAATAGAGTATAATATCATGTAAAATTTGCCTTGGTTCATGCAGGGTTTATTTTAAGGAAAAATTTAGAACTGCACATATTTAGGATATTACGAAGCATCACATGTTTGACTGGTGTGTCAAAGAATGTTTATCTATATTTAACGTTGTAAATTTATGATTGTAAATTGGGTGAATACGGGGATACAAATCCGCCGATCCGCCTAAATTTGAAGCAAAATCCGCGATCCGACAATAGTCTTGTCTAAATTTGAATCCGCTAAAAGCTCTACTATGAAGTCACAATCCAGGATCCGAACTAAATTGCATACTAAATCCACAATCCGAGCCAAAATATTAGATAAATCCGCAATCCGCTGTATTAATAAGATCCGCAAATCCGTGTAAAATATTCGCCAGATCCGAAATCCGAACAATTTTTTCTGTGAAATCCGACAATCCGAAAACCTAATTTGTATATAGGTGGCAGAATAAAGGTGTGGTTGGGTGGGGCCAGACAAACTCGATTCTGGGTGGGGGAGCCACAGGTAGGGGGTGTCCCCCCAAATTTTGAATTTAGAGGCTCGTAAATTCTGGCAAAGATTTGTTTCACCAAACCACCCACAAAAACTGTTTCAAAACATGAATCATGAATACTCAATATATAATAACCTTAAGAATATTAGGTTCTCCCACTCTAATCTCTTCTGGATAGCTTCGCTCGCACCAATTTTACCTCCTAACCTCCTGTTCCATTACCCCCAGCACGTATGTGATTTGTGAGAAAAATATGAGAGTCTGGTGATCCTCTCCCAGAAAACATTTAGATTTTTGATGCTCAATGACAGAATTTCTGGCATCTGGAGCATCCACAAGGAAAACGAGTATTAAAATGAGGAGACTGTTTTGAGGTTATATTTTTGTTAATTTGGTGACTGCACATTTGAGTTTTAAGAACGTACTGCACAAATAGGTTTAGAACTGCACATTTTGTGTAGATCTGCACGTTAAAATAAACCCAGGGTTATTGTAGTGTTTCTTATATTATATTAAGACTACACTTCACATCAACGGCTCATCCCCTGTGTTTCGAAGGCCTTCGACCACAGGGGTCATAATTATGTAACCCTCGGTTGGAGATAGAAGGTTTTATTCAATACCTTGATTTGCAGTATATAGTCTATATATACTGAATTGATAAGGTTTACATGTTATATTATATCATATTATATGATGCTGAACTCTGATTTTTGTCCATAATTATATAATAATGATATATCTCTCAATTCCAGCAACTTTTTTAAGAGTGTTAGATATATAGGGGGAAATGCTATGACCACTGATTCCACTGAATATAGCTTCGCGTGAAACTTGCAATTCTATTCTATAATTTTGGTTGTTTGTGATTGGCTAACCGCAAGAGGTCACATGTGGATTAACATTGGGGATTAAAATGACAGAAAGAGTGGAAACCTCGCCAAACACTCCAAATTAGACTTTAGTTTCCCGTCCGGCCCTTATTTCAAATTACACGCGGGCGGGCGGTCCATTTCGATTATCCATTATGGTGTCTCAAAGATGAAACAGGGCCCATTATTTCATGAAATAGATACGTTTTAAATATCCATTCAGCCACGTTTCTACGCAATGTTTTAGATTTTTTGTATGCAGAAATGAAAGCCAGGATATTAGCCTTATCGGTTTTGACGTGTGTAGCTCAGCAGTTCGTAGTGAAAACGGAAAAAAATTCACGCTCTTTGATAAAAGTTTCAAGAATTTTATTTCGATTTTTACGTGTTGTATCATAAATATGTATTTCTTGAACAATAGATTATTTGAAAACTGTGGTTTTTCGTAATTGTTTGTCACAAAAGTCAAATAATGGAAACAAGTTAGCAGTAATGGACAAATCATGCGGCCAGTTCTAGGAGACGCGGGCGGAGGACGGGAAACTAAAGTCTAATTTGGAGTGGCCATATGGTCGTTTGAAGAGAAAACAAAATTACCCAATCTCCTCGACAAAAAAGAGTTTAGCTACAGAGCGTTTTATCCGATTCTTCCCAAACTTGACCACAATGTTAACCAATAATAAAGGACCAAAAAGATGTTCGCGTTTTCGATTTAGTGCATTATTTTCAATTTTAGTAGAAGCATCTCTTCAACTACTTATACCCGCGCAAGATAAGTCAAATTGTCTGCTTTATATCAAAGCGAATACAATGGCTCTCAAAAAATGCGAACACACTTTTCTTCTTTGGACATTTGAGATGAGAAATATGATATTTTGGGAGCTCCTGATTTAAACGGTCCGACTGTCGTTAAATCTCACTGTCACAACTTGTTAACAAGCTTGCTACAAACCTATTGCAAACACATAAAAGATGTTGCGACTACAGGTTAATAGATGGTGAATTTTGGTTAAAACAGTAGCTTCTACAGTTAGTTATCATTGCATGTACCAAATTTGAGAAACGTAACTTTAGATGGTTAGATAGGAATATTGGTTAGATAGGAATATTATTAGTAGTATAGTAGTGTAGGCAGCAGAGGATGCATATATATACATACACACTTTATTTAATTAGCGACGCTAGCCCCGACAACTACAAAAGTTGATTTCCACGGGGGACGTCCGTATAAAAAATATTACAAAGAATATAAAAAGGAAGGAAACTACTACTATATGTACGTTATGAAAAGCTACTCTAATCCACGATGGTGTGTCCCAGATAAAGATGTGATTAACTGAATCCAGACAGACTCCGTTATTAACATCAAAAATTTTGTTTTATACAACTTGATTAAGCTTGCTTTATAAATTGATTGAGCTTGCTTAGCTTCAAGCGGAAGGTTATTCCAAAGATAAGCACCGCTATATGGCCACCATGGCCAGGCATATTTTTCAAGCCTGCCCGGTGTGGATATACACTCAGAGTAACATCACAAGCATCTTCTTTTGAGAAATTCTCTGTTTGGCTTTGGAAGGGTCAGATCAGTTTGAGATTTTCTAAGATTATAATTGTTTAGTAGAATATTCACCAAACCCTATGTTCACGACTCTCACTTTAGGAAGAACGCCAAGAAACATTGTTAAAATGAGAATATTTCTATGGCATCTAATTCATTAATAAATTCTTACCTTCCAAACGTACAAGATTGTCATATTCTGTGAAAATATCCACATGCGTTGCTTCAATTTCCGAGGTCATTTTTTATGCGCAGTGAATTTATGCACAGTGTGCAGAATAATAAACGCAAACAACCCCAGAATATTATGACCAGCTTGCTTGTAAGACTTATAATGAATTGAATTGATTTAATGACTACTGACTTTGTAACCCAAAAAGGTTAAATTACACCAGTATTACATAAATTAAGAGGATAAGTTAAAATTACATAATAATTACATATTTAAGATTATTTACATTTCTAAAAACTTATTTACTGTTAATCTTTAATATACTTTGAGGTAAAAACGAATTCTTAAAACGTTCGGTTCTGCAAACATAATTATGATATTTACATATCGGTCTTAGATCATATCCAGATAAAACTGTTTGTGGTAAAAGATCTTTGAGATTTTCATTGTCAATATTCTTCTCAAAGAAATGTTCGCATAATTTTTCTCGTCGATCTCTCAGTGACGTGATGTTAGTCGTGATCAGCGCTTCGTCGTACTTTTGCAGGTTATTCGTTTATATCCCCTCTGTCATGCGGTTTTAGTCTGTCAGCACATTAAGTAATGTTACAAAGTTCAGAAAGGATCAATTACTTTGACGCACATGCGAAGTCGAAATTTTCTCCAAAATGTAGTTAATCTGTTTCACACAACACCTTCCAAGGGCAAAACACAAAATTGCAGCGCTCTTATAAGTTATAAGAGCTATTTGCGCGGTACTACCAGCGCTTGGGCCAACTGTAAAGCCCAAAATCATTTCAGGGACCGGTTGTACAAAACTAATGTGTTGTTAAATGGTTTAGCTTCATTTAAAAGAAAGCCGAAATTTGTGGCATGAGTACACTTGCTTGTCACCTTCATGGCGTCACGTGGAGATCTAAGTGCAAAAGCAATATTGCGCAATGTAGAATAGTTTATGAGATATATTTAAAGTTTAGAGTATTTTGTTGTATTTCTAATTCAGACAGTTGAGCGTATCTTGCGCGGCAAAAGCCCGAAAGCACGGTATTCTATGACATTTGAAATATGGGACGTTTTTGGATATTATGTAAATGTTTGGATAGGTCCTGGTGTTTCCACAGTAGCGTTGACGTCTTTCGGCTTGAACATGAGTGCGGTTGACAGATGAATTTCTGGTAACTCAAGATTTACTGCGCTCCGCAGACATATTGTTCAAAGTCAGAATACAAGCAACAGGATCGGCCCTTTAAGCATAATCGGGCATGTGTAGAATAGAGAAATGGGCGTCGTTTTTTGAAAATGCAACAAACAAATAGGGCCAAATAGAAGCACCTCCATTATGCTTAGAGATTTTGCTTTTGTCCGTTTTGACGTTCTCATGTACACATGCGAGAAGGCGGTTTTATGCTTTCTCTATGTTGATAGATGCATGAATCACTCACACACAGAAAACTACGAAGTGTGTGTGTTTTTTTTGTTAAAATATTTATCGGTTTGAGGTCAATCAAGCAAACTTTGCACTGCTCGTGACGAGTGCATGGTTTATACTACGTGTCTCTGGTTGTTCTCCTGCACAAACTAGCTTCCATCTGAGATGAGCTCCGTGATCTGATGTGGGACCCTAGTAAGTCTATGGTGAATAAAGTTTAAACAGCAGGTACACCGCAATTCAAGTTGCAAAAAGGATGGAGAACCTTGCCTTACTTCACGTTACTTTACAAGATGCAGCAAACGTTGCTCGTGGAACGAATTGAAATTTGAAAATACAATTTTTCAATCTTTTGTCTCATTAATGAATTCCTACCTTCTCCAATATTAAGAAATCCAGTGTAGAAATTCAAGTTAATTGATCCAATGTCAAAGGCCATTTTTCTGGGCATGTACATTCATCCAGAGACCACAATATACAGTGGAATAGACCCAGAGTGCTCCACAATATATGCTGCTGATTTGCCTTCGATTAATGCGTAATCAACATATTGTGCGTCATTTTAAGACAAAACATAAAAAGAAATCGGTGCTCTAGGTTTGAAAATAAGTCGGGAAGCTTGACGTGTTTTGGTCTACATTTCACATCACTATTTTTTTCATGTCATTTTTACCAGATCTTCCGCCAGAAAAATCTTATTTGGTCGACTGAGAATGAAGGTCAATATAGAAATGAAGGTCGTTTACCGTAATTTTGCACTGCACGTCTTTATTCCAAGATTTAAAAGCCGAAAAAAATCGTCGAAAAATATCTAATTATATAATACAGACATTGAATAAACATTCATTTCTCATGAATTTCTTTAAAATTGTAATTAGTTCGATCAATAAGTTATGTTAAAATGCTCATAAATTCATGATGAAATTTATCTTTCTTGATCGAGATCACTGCCTAGAAAGAGTATATTTTACCAACAATATACTGTAACTTTCTTCGCATTTAATTTGACTGGTATTTCATTTGGTTTTGTCTATACCGTATTGAGAAGATCTGATTGGTTCATCTATATCACGTGATCGCTTTTGCTGTTTTGCCGTAGACAATACAAAATGCAAAAATTGCCTTGATGAACAATTAGTTGCCACCACGCATTAAGCAAGAACTAAAATAGAATTATGTACTTAGTAACTCACAACGATACAGATTTTGTTTTGATATATTTAATACAATCGCTGAACAAATGTACGACTTAAAGCGTCACCAAAGCGCGCAGACGTAAAAATCCCCATCACATATCCACAATCATCTCTGATGTCAACTGGGCATCTCACAGTCTCCTCAAGTTAGGATGACGCCATTAAAGTTTGTGCCATGGACTACGATAAAGAAAAGAAATGATTGTCACATTTTTGAAAGTTAAATGTTAAAATCAAATGAAGCTACATTTTATTATAATTTTTTTAAATTTAACAATCGCACGATTGATGGAAAGGAGAACAGAACTATATGTTCCTTATTAAGTCCCACCAAAAAATATTGAGTTCAGCTTTCGTTGTCATATCATCAGAACTGCGAGAATTGCAACTGGGGCTGGTTGTCCAAAGGTGGATTAGCGCTAACCCTGGGTTACAATTTAACTAGTAGTTTGTGTATTTCTGTACGTCTGTTTATTTCAAAACTTCAGAGAAGTAAACTCCCATCGATCCAGACAAGATCTCTGAAGAAATATTTCCAAATTTATAGACAAGCTGTCAGGAAGTTTGCTTTGAATTTTAAGTTAACCTAGGGTTAAGCTAACCCAGCTTTGAACAACCGGCCCCTTGGGCCGTCTCAACATGTCTGAACGTGAGTGATATCTGAAGAGTTATGCCATGAAATCAGAATAAATTAAGGAAAAGTAGCACTAATCAGACTAAAGATAATAACATTTGTATAAAATAAGATCTTATATAAAAATAAGATTAACGTGAATAAAGAAAACAATAAGCTGGCTGGATAAACAGTCCAAAAATTCTTCACTTCTCGCAGTTCTGATGATGTTGTGATACAACGAAGAATCAATTCTAATTTGATGTTCAATCTTTTACACATCTTGGGGCCGTTGAATAAAAAAGTGATTAAAGTTAACTATAGTTAGTGGAAACATCATCCAATAAGAAGCGCATATTTGAGAGTCCCGTCATCTGATTAACACGTAACACGTAGGCTCAGATTCCAGCCGTTGTTAAGTGGGCGAGTGGCGAGAACACAACGGCTGGAATCTGAGCCTAATTAACACGCGACTGAAGAGCGAAGGACCCAAAAAGTAATCCAATTCAATACATTTTGTAATCAGCTTAAAAATGACGGTCACGGTACGTGTGTTTCACCCTTTTCATTCAAGTTTCATATCTGCAGTTATAGAGTTGTTTGATTATTTTTTACTTCAGCTCATTCGTGAAGATTGCAGTTTTTGAAACACTATACTGTGCATGTCGTCTCCAATAAGGAATTATTACACTCGCTATTAGCGAGCTTAAGATACACCAACTCTACGATGCGGACGTGACGAAAAACTGCCGCTATTATCACAGTTTCACTTCACGAGAAAAAAACAAAGTAAAACTAGTCTCCCATTATATTAGCGACTGTTTTTAGTCGCGTTCGCGTCCCAGATTTGGTGCATCTTAAGCTCCCGAATGACCTAGCCTGCAGCATTAGCGGGCATCAAAGGCGGCAGTGACCCTTCCCAGGGTTAAGACCCTATAAATATCTCAATTCTGATACGCTGTTTAGTTTTATTTTTATACCTTCCTTGCCTGTTCTACGCAAATAACGTAATCTCTGACAAGGTGCGAACATTTTAATGACGATTTTTCATTTTCTTGATAGCAATCCAAGACATGATTTTGCAATGAAGTGCACACAGGCTCCACTTTCTCATCACTATAAAATAAATAATATAAAATACCCACGATGAATTTGTTTGAAAAATTATATTTTCCTGTTTCTCACATTCGCAGCATTTCTAGTGGCTAAAATATCAAGACATATCTTACCTATATTTACCCTGCATTTCATTGACAGCATTGGTAAATTCTTGCAAAACCTCTTGTTCAATTTCAGCACTCTAAATACACAAAGATTTAGAAATCTAAATACCACAGTATGACAAACATGACAGTAGAGATCAGGGATGGATCCAGCATGATTTGGTAGGGGGGGGGGGGTTTGCTGTGCCAGCTCTGGTGCCGAGTTGTGTCGGTCATGTGTGCCGCCCGTCCATCAACTTGCTTCACTACTTGTTATTTACAGTTCGCTTATCATCATGTTATTACTCAAATTACTGTATCTCATTTTCTCTCTAATATTTTTTTGCTTTATCATGAAAAATATCACACACCCCCCTGCACCCCCTCTAGCCAGGGCTAGG